GGCAGAGGAGAACGCCAGGCTTCTTGCTGCTTGCCTTCTCTCTCGCTGGTAGACTTCTCTCTTGCTGCTGTAGACTGAAGACTAGCTGATCTTTTCAAATTTGTCAGACCTTCAGCGCCAGATCATATATATATATATATTCATTCTACCGGTTCTGTTTCTTTAGGGAACCCTAACTAATACAACCCCCACCCCCAAATCCTGCGCAGCTTCCTACACCAGGAACTAGCTATTTCTGAAGAGGAAGAAACTAACCTGAGGAATGTAGGCTACAGGTTTAATCCTAGAATATGGAATTTGTAGAAACTAATCATTTGCTTCTAAAAAGAAAAAGACAATTTTGTCCTACATGTTAATAAACCCAGTAAAATTCTTTGTAAAAAGTTTTCCTTCCCAATGGCTTTACAGCCAGGCTATTTTTAAGCAGAAAGGATTTAATTAAGCCGCGTGGCTCACTCTGGCATAGCCTTGTCTAGGTCACTGGCAGAAAGCCACCAAGTCCTGAGACTCAGGACCCCTGCTCCACACCGGATCAGTGGTCTCTCCAGCCTCTGGAGCCCCCTGTCGTCTGCAGACGGGATTTCAGGCATCCTAGAGGATTTGGAGCCCGACTTCAATCCCCTTCCCTGATTGCCTCTTTTTCCATCAGTACATTCTACTTGGGAGATAAAACAGGTCACATTAGAACAGGAGAACAAAGCCCCTGCCTTCCACACCAGGCCTCACGGCCTTTGCATGCAGACCTATTTGAACCAGGATCTGTCTAATTGGAAGTTCCAGCTGTTTGTGACAGTGGTGCTGAGGAGAGACCTTTGGTGGGAGACAGAGGGAGGGAAGGGGGGATCTGGAGTAAGGTGAGGTAGGAAGAAGTTTGGGGCCCAAGATAGAGCCCTGGGAAAAAGAACCCGACGCAATCCCCCTGAAAGCGAATCTCCTTGTTTGCCTTGTCTCAGTCCAGTTTCCTCACCCCAACCCCGCCCCTACCCCAGAAGAGCTTCAGAGTTCCTGCTCACCCCGTGCCCTGCACCATGGAATAAACGAGACTAGTCTGTGGATATGTTCAGATTACTTTTCATGCTTCAGGAAATGCCAGGTGCCTTCAGGCACTTTCCTTCCGGCTTTTGTCCTGTATCTCAAAGAACCCTAGCCTGGCAGATTCCATAGCCACTAGAGAGTACGATAGGGCATGTGGGTGTTTTCTGCTGAGCCTTCTGCTAAAGGCCTGACTGAGGGTGAGGGAGGCAGTCTGGTGGGCGAGGGCGGGTGGGCACCTCTGACGGCCCACTTCCCTGGTTCTCCAGGGTCTTGCTTGCCAGTTGGCAAGCCTCAGGCAGTCTTTCCGTCTCACCTGCCTCAGTCAGGACCTACCCAACACACACAGGCCTGCCTTTGATCTGAAGCTTAGCCTGTGCTGCTGGGAGTGGCAATCAGGGAGCCTCTAATGTGTCCCTGGCTGGTTCTGTGCCTGCTGGCCCAGCTGCCACAGCAGAAGATATCAGGCATACCAAATAACAGTCTGCCTGCTTCCAAGTAGCAAGACAGCAGCTGCTGGGCTGGAGGAGAGGACTGTCTGGTACAGCTCCTGCAGAAACTTTCAGGTAGGCTGAGGTGAGCATTGACTCTCAGTGCTCAGTGACCGTGTGCCTGAATGACAGAGCAGTACCACTGTTTATTGAGCAAGCAAGCCATCTGAGAAGGCACATGATGAAAGATATGGAGAGGACAGGTCTGTCACCAGGGGGTTTCAGTAACAATTCTTTCCCTCGCTCCTGAGGATGCTTCAAGTTTCAGGGATACTTCCTGTTTCCTGCCTCTGAGACTTTGCACATGCTGTTCCCCTGTCCAGTGTGCCCATCTCTCCTCTAGTTCCTGCCACTACCTTCACCATGGTTACCTTCAGGTCACAGCCTTGTCCCTTACTGTGCCATTGTCCCATTGCCTTCTGTCCCCACTGGCTTCCTCAACTCACATATCACTCCAGTGCCCAGCAGCACTGTTAGGCACAACCTGGGTACCTGATATTAAGTTTGCAGAATGATGTACTCTTTCAAGTTTATGGGGTTAACAAGGCTGAGAGAAAGGGGCAGACTTGGAATCTCAGGACATTTGGGGGACCAGGTAAGGGGTGAACTGATGTGGCTGCTGGCTTTTTTAACCTCCTTTCTGTGACGTTCTCTTTGCCACCTCTACCACCTCCGCGGACTCTCAGCTTGTCAGTCCCATTCTCCATCCAGCATGAAGCTCTGCTGCTGCCTGGAGCCCCTCTTGCCATCTAGGCACTCCTGCTGATGGCATCTTTTTACCAAAGCAGGGGAGAGGGCTAGACCCAAAGGGAACATTCCCAAGAATGTAGAGATCTTCAGGGTGAGGAACCATGGCAAGTCTAGCCCACAGCCTGTTCTTACACTTCTTTTTTTATTACTTTTTTTTTTTTTGGGTCTTTTTGAGACAGAGTCTCCCTGTAGCTCCAGCTGGCCTGGAACTCACTATGTAGACCAGGCTGGCCTCAAACTCACAGAGCTCCGCCCACCTCTGCCTCCCGAGTGCTGGGATTAAAGGCATGCACCACTATGCCCGGCATATTTATTACTTTTATGTGAATGAGTGTATTGCCTTTGTGTATGCGAGTGCACCCATATCGTGCAGTGCCCAGGGAGGTCAGGATGTTGATCCCCTGGAGCTAGAGTTACAGCTGGTTGTTATCTACAATGTGAGTGCTGGGAACAGAACCTGGGTCCTCTGCAAGAGTAACCAGTGTTCTCAACTGATGACCCATCTCTCCAGCCCCTGTTCTTGCACTTCTAAACCATTATTAAAACCAGAAAAAGCATGTTGGGGGGGGGGGTCTGGAAGGAGGGATGGGGGCTGTGGGATGGATATGATCGAAATACATTGTATTGTATTGTATTGTATAGTATTGTATCATACATTGTATGAAATTCTCAAAGAATAAAAAAATATTTTAAAAACCAGAAAAAGCAGCAACAGAGATAATATGTGGTCTGCGGAGCCTGAAGTATTGCCATATGGCCCTTTGCAGAACACATTTGCTGTCCCATTCCAGAGTAGTAACACTGTGATCTCAAGGAGGGAGGGTTTGTCTAAAGCTGAGTCACATGGCAGAGGGAGCTCATGTGGGTCAGTAAAGCAAGTACTAGGTCTGGAGTCAGGAGACCTGAATTGTAATTCCACCTCTGCCAGGACCCAAGAGCAAGTGTCCTTTCTGTGTTCAGTGGTCCTATCTTTCTAATGGCTATGCTGGGGTATGTTTAAAATCCTGTGATGCCAGAGAGCACCGTGAAGCCACTGCCAGCCTGTTGTGGGAACTCTCTCTCTGAGGAGACATTACTTCTAACCTTTCCTTATAGAGCTCCAACCACAAACCAAAGTGATTCCACTAAAGTCCAACTTGGGGAACCAATGAATTTACTGGGCATACTTACTTTGGGTGGTTCCAAAATGACCACACCATTGGAAAGTCTCACCCCAGCATGGATGATGGTGTCCCCATAGCTACATAAATGGAGTCCCTGGTCCCTTCAGTTAATTTTCCAAGCTCTACATGCTCCAGCACCTCCTGAGACCACAAGACCACATGCAATTAGGGAAGAATTATGGCCAGGTGCAGGATGAGTTGCTAGAATCTCATGTGAGGGGCCAATGACCCTCCCTAGCCCCTCCTTCTATGAAGGAAGGTCAACAGTCAAACAACCTGATCTTGAGGGTCCCTTGCAAGTAGTCACAGATCCTCTGATGAAGATAATGGTTGTCATGAGCAGAGGATGGTCTCTACAACACAGCTGATGGCTGCCCCTTTGAGAGTGGGATGATGACCCAGATATTTTGGGAGTGAACTGATTTTATAGTGTTGAATCTCACTACTAAGTTAGGAGAGTCTCTCTCTCTCTCTCTCTCTCTCTCTCTCTCTCTCTCTCTTTCTTGTTAGTGGCTGTTCCCATTCAATTTATGTCTTCTTTTGGTCTCTTTCCTTCACAGTGCCACCCTCCATACCAGACTGTGGCATCCAAGGGGAGACTGTGATTGGGAACAACATCCAGCTGACCTGCCAGTCAGCTGAGGGCTCCCCAAGCCCAGAGTATAGCTGGAAGAGCTACAACACCCAGAACCAGCAGCGGCCAGTCGCCCAACCAGGTAATGGGGCTAATGGGGGAGAGTCCCTGGCATCAAGGTACAACTGATCAGTTAAGACAGCCATAGGAGACAGACCACTCAAATCCCTGTTTCCCAACCCTCTATGCATTTTCCATTAAACACACCCACCTACCTAACAGCTGGAAGTGGAAGTGAGTGCATGAAGCACTCAGCAAAGGCTGTGGTAGATACCACACTCCTGTTCTTCCACATCCCTCAGTTCTCTTAAGAAGCATGCACCATTAAGCACTCTGTGAAAAGGCAGGGAGGGAGGTGCTCATTTGGAGGATTATTATGTCCTAAAGTCCACATTTGAAGCCCTATCTAACCTCATGGCTACACCCAAGTAGTCTAGTATCATTTTCTGTCTGGAATAGCCCATCTCAGATACCACTACAAACTGCACTATGATGTACAAGGGCCTTTGTTCTCAGTGAAGGTGATGGTGGACTTAGCTATAGTTGCCAGGAGGCCAATTTTGTGCCAGAGAGCCAATATATGGATTTTTGGTCTTGGAAGAGGAGGAGAGGGAGGGGTGGGGGAAGAAGAAGAAGAGGAGGAGGAGGAGGAAAACTATATAAATACTCTGCTGCTGTTATTCCCACTGGTGTGGGAATTCCCTGGTGGAATTCCTGGGCTCCTGGTGCCCACTAGATACTCTGCCAGATACAGCAGTGATTCTGAGACCAGGAACCACAAGGCCTAAAAGGTGTCCATTAGCTCTACCCTTGGGGTCTTTCAGTCCCCTGTGTTTGGAAAAGATATGGGAGGTGAGAAGGAAGCCTGTGGGTGGACACATCTATTTTGAGAAGCTGATGTGTGGGGGTGGGAAGAACGTATGGGGACCTGGGAAAGCCCTGGTGGATGATAGCAAGGACTCAATCAGTGTGAGGTAGTGTAGCTATGATTCAGCAGGTTAGGGATAGAGACTAGCATGGGAATCATGAACATCATTGTGGCTGAGGGGAAGGATGCGGGTCCATGTGGGAATGATGGGATGTACTGTTGATAGGAAAGATAGTGAGGAGAGCTGGAGAAGGGCTGTGTCAGGCTAGAAGGTTGGCCTTTGTCCTGTAAGCATCTGGCTCTTTCTGTAGTCTCATAAATGCACACCTCTCCTTTTTCCATCACAAAAAATTTCTCTGGTTGTTAGGAGCCAAAATTTAGTTCTTTAGTCACTAAAAGTGTGTAACACCCAAAAGCATGAAAAGAGGTTAAAGGGAGATTGTCTCTCTGCTTTGCAACTGCTTTATCCTGCTCCACATCCAGCCTAAGGTGCCCGAGGTGACAGCAAAGAAGGTTGTTGTATTAGCTATTTTCCATTTTGCTAGATAAAACGCCCAGAGAAAAGTAACTAAGGGAGAAGGGGTTTTTTGGTTCACAGTTCAAAGGTACTATCTGTCATGGTGGGGGAGTCATAACAGCAGGATCTTGAGGCTGCTGGTCACATCGTGTTCAGTCAGAAGCACAGATTGATGAATGCTAGTGCTCAGCTCAGCTCACTTTCTCCTTTGTCTAGGATCCCAGCCCAAGGGATGATGTTGCCCACAGTTAAGGTGGGTGTTCTAGTTTGCTTCACCATTTCTGTAATAAAACGACCAAAACCAACTCTGACCAAAATCAACTTGGGGAGGAAAGGGTTTGTTTCATTTTACTCTTCCAAGTGACAGTCCATCACTGAAGGAAGCCAAGGCAGGAACTTAAGCAGGACAGAAATCTGGAGGCAGGAGCTGAAGTTCAGACCAGGGAAGAGCACTGCTTACTGGCTTGCTCCTCCAGCCTGTGCTCAACCTGCTTTTTTATACAGCCCACGACCACCTGCCCAGGTGTGGCACCACCCACAGTGGGCTGAGCCCTCTCACATCACTCAACAATTAAGAAAATTCCTCACAGACATGCCCACAGGCCAATCCTATAGAGGAAATTCCCCAATTGCGGTTCCCTCTTCCCTGGTGTGTCAAGTTGGCAACTAAGCTATCCAAAACAATTAGTCCCTTGTCAACTTGACACACAAACAAATCACTATTAAATCATAAGCCTTCCAGTTCTTATTTTCAAGACCTCATATTAATATTACACTATAAAACACAGTATAACTTAAAAAGTCCCACAGTCCTTAAAAATTCCAATACTTTAAAGCTCAGTGTCTCTTTAAAATAATCCAAAATAGCTGGGTATGACAGTGCATGCCTTTAATCCCAGCACACAGGAGGCAGAGGCAGGAGGATCTCTGTGAGATCAAGGCCAGCCTGGTCTACATAGTGAGTTCCAGGCCAGTTGGGGCTACAGGGAGACCCTGTCTCAAAACAACAAAAACCCAAAACCAAACCACCCCCCCAAAATTCAAAGCTCTTAACTGTGGGCGCCTATAAAATAGAAAATAAGTTACATACTTTCTTAATCCAAGAGGGAAGAAGAGGGCACAATCAGATCAAAGCAAACCAAAATCAAACTGTAAATAGCTCTGGGATTCACTTAAATCATCTGAGCTCCAAAGGGCTTGAGCAGTGCCTCTTCTGCAGCTTTGCCATCCAGAGCACACACAGCTTGTCTCACAGGCTCAGGACAGCTCCATTTAACACCTGCCACTGCCCTTGGTGGTCATGCCATGGTTTTGGTATCTCCAATATGTTGGGATTTTTACTGTAATTGAGGCTTCACCTTAACCAATGATCTCCTTGCCTCTCAGGGTCCCAAGCTCAGATTCTCTCCATGACCCCTTCAATCCTGGGATCTCTATTACAACTGAGGCTTTACCTTCATCAATGGTCTCTCAGTGTGCAAAGCCTCAGCTTTTCTCCATGACTCCTTCAATCCTGCAGCTTTCACGCTGCCAAACCCAGTACCAGATGGGAGGCTCCTAAACACACCAAGTTCAGCTGCTAGCTTGAGATGCAGCCTTGACCCCCTCTGGACCACAGCTTCTGTGTGCTGACCCCAAGGAAATCCTTCCCATAAGATTTTGCCCCAATGATGCTGGTCTCATTCATCACAGCTGATTTTTCAGGACTGACTGACCAGAAACTACAGGTTCTCAATTCAAATATCACACAAATGGCCCTGTTATTGTATTTAACAGGCTCACAAACTTCCCTCTGAAACTTCACAAGCCAGGTTTCCACTGTCTACATTTCTCCCACCATTCTTATCGTGCAAGCTCCCACAGAACAACAGCTCACTGAGCTCTAAGCATTCAATGGCATTTCCAGCCCAAACTTAAAAATTCGTCCACAATCCCCCCCTTCACCCCCTCCAAAACAACATGATCAGGTCCTTTACTGCAATACCCCATGATTCTGGTACAAATTTCTGTTCTAGTTTGTTTCTCTATTATTCTGATAAAAACCAACTTGGGGATAAAAGGATTTATTTGGCTTACACATTCCAATAAAAGCTCATCGTTGAGGGAAGCCAGGGCAGGAACTTGGAGGCAAGAGCTGAAGAACAGACCATGGAGAAGCACTGCTTAGAGACTTGCTCCTCTAGACTATGTGTAACCTGATATCTAACCCAGGATCACCTGCCTATGTGATGCCTCCCATAGTGGGCTGGGACCTCCTACATCACTCAACAATCAAGAAAATGCCCCACATACATGCCTACAAACCAATCTGGTAAATTCCTCAATGAAGTTCCCTATTCCCAGGTGTACTAAGTAGACAACTGAAGCTATCCAGCACATTAAGTCTTCCCACCTCAATTTACTTAAGCTAGATAACCCCATGCAAGCATGTTCCAAATGTTTTCTTGATCTAGACTCCCTTACAGACATGCCCAGAGGCTTGTCTGCTAGTGATTCTAGATCCTGTCAAGTTGACAGTATTAACCATCACAGTGATGCATGATAATCACCATGAAGACTTGCATCTGGATATGATGGAGTTGAGGGTGCTGTTCTCAAAGTCTCTTGTCTTCACTGTGCCTTGCAGTGCCCTAGAATATGATCAGCATCTTCTTCCTTGAGCCAGCCCCCAACCTTTTCTGACTTGTAAAACATTTTGGTCGCCCTCCTGTATCTCACAACAGAGTTCTCAGCATTAGAGGAGTTCCTTTGACTCATCCATCTGTGGAAACAAGCTAGCAATAAAAGAAATGGGAAGTGTGGAACCAGGAGACAGGGATTTGAGTACTGTTTTCACTTGGTAGCTGTAAGTCACTCAAGCTCTCTGACCCTAAAAACAACAACAAAACAACAACAACGCAAAGCAAAGCCAGCATATCGCTAATACTACCTTTCCTGAAGTAATGGGCCAGTTCTGAACATACTTGGTCTGAACATACTTGGTAAACTGCATTCTAGCGAGTTTCTGGAACTGAAGGAACAGGGATTTGGATATCAAGGAAGGAGGGAGGATTCTGAGGGCTGGAGCACTTTAAGGGAGGAGTAGTGAGAGTGGTGATAGGCCCATCCCCAGAGCCTTGGATGAGAGGTGGCACCCAGAGCTTATTGACCAACCATGGTGGGAGGGGACAGAAAGAGTAGATCCTGCTAACTCAACACGAGGGTCTTGGGGTGGGCAGGATTTGTTAGGAGTGAATCTTTCCACAGCTTCAGCAGAGGAAAAAGCAGGCATGCATTTCCTTTTCTTACCATAAGATGTCACCATGGCAGCAGAAACATTAGTTTTCACTGGATTTCTGAAACTAGTGAGCCCTTTTCCAAAAGGAAAAGGGGCTTGGGAGCCTCAATTCAATCAAAGCCAGTCCCAGGGCATGGGGTGCATACCAATTCATCCTAGAGAACCTTCTAGAACACACTGATTGCTGCAGGGGAAGGAGGAAGGATAGTGCTGACTCAGTGCACTGGGACCCCTTTACCATATGTTCTCCAACCCTAAGCAAAGCCCAGCAGTGTCCTGCAGTGCTGTGGAAGCCTCACCCTCAGACTGAGCTGTAGCACACTCTCAATTACTGGGAATCTGATACAACACCCAGGGCCAGGAGTATTTCCCAAAGTGTGTTCCTTTGAAATCCTCTTAAAAACAACCAAATTCAATTGTTTTAGGGAATGGGACCCTTAATACTCTGAATACTGAGACTCCCATTGCTCCTTAGCATATTAAAATACTGGAGAGCCACTCCCTTAAAACTTTACAGCCTTAGTGATTTTCACACTTCATGTGCTCACAGACCCCCTTTCCAGTACCATATATTAATACGGCATGTAAGTGATACTCCAGAAAACACACCAAGGTGCGGAGTTCTAGGACTCAAGGGGATTACAGTTTACTGGAAGTAATGCTCTGGGTTTCAAGGGGAGAATATGAGGAAAGTAGCATGTTTTTGACAAGCTGGAAGAATATAACTCCAAGTCAAAGGGCTGTGATTTCTAGGCGGTGAGAGTGAGGGTGATCTTTTATTCTATTCTTTTAGAGGCTCCTTCACTGTACGTTTAAATAAAACCTCCATTTTGAACCATGGCCAATCCTAAAATCACCATTGTTTCATGTCTGTCTTCCTTTACAGATTGGAAGAGGACAGGGGCCCTCTTCATTTTGTTTGTAGCTATGACCAGTTTATAGGTCTTTTTGGATTGAGGTGAATGAGGTGCTATTTTTATGTCATATATAAGTTGTTATAATGAGCATACATTGCTTTTGTAATACAAATGTTTTTTGTTTTGTGTTTTAAGCATTTAGTGGGGGGGCACGTGTGTAGAGGTCAGAAGACCCCTTGTAGAAGCCAGTTCTCTCCTTTCACTATGTGAGTTCCAGGGAATGAACTTAGGTTTTCAGCCTTGGCAGCAAGCTTCTTTACCCACTGAGCCATCTTGCCAGCCCATAATGCTGTTTTAAAGGTTGTCAAGTGCTCTGATGAACACTAGTTCTGAAAACAGGACTTTAAACAATTATGTGGTGTGTGTGTGTGTGTGTGTGTGTGTGTGTGTGTGTATGTGTGTGTGTGCACTCCATGTGGTTGTTGGGAACCAAATTCCGGTCCTCCAAAAGAGCAGCAAGTGCTCTTAACCACTGAGAAATCTCTCCAGCCCCCAAACAGGATTTTTGTTCCAATTATGCCATTTCTTATTTTGTGAATTTGAGCAAGTCACTTAACTTCTCTAAGCCTTCAGTTGCCTCTATGGAATTGGAGATGGGAATACTTGGTACACCTATACAAGAGTGTTGGAAGGATGAAACGATGCCATATTGTATCTCAGTATGAGATACCACCACCACACCCTCATATACCACAGGACACTTTCTTTGAGAGCAGGAGACAGGGCCAGATGGGTTGCTCCCTTGGATCTGCACATGGGGAAGTGGCAGGAGAGAAAGCTGGCATGATTGCAGGTCCAGACCCATAATCCTGTCACCACCTTAAAAGCTTCGACTGGAGGATGGGGCAGGAGGTAGCTCAGTCAGTAAAGTGCTCGCCATACAAGCATGACAACCCAAATTTGATTCGCAGCACCCGCATAAAAGCTGGGCATGGTAGTACACACTTGGAATCCCAACACTGGGGAGGCAGACAAGATCTGGGGACTTGCTGACCAACCAATCTGGTTGAATCAGTGAGCTCTAGGTTCACTGAGAGACACTGTCTCAAAAATAAGATGGAGAAGTGATTGAGGAAGACACTTGGTGTTGGCCTCTGGCCTCCACACACATATGTGCATGTGCACCCCTGCCCCACATGTATACACATACACAGAGTTTGACTACTTACTACAAATTAGGGACAACCTCTGAAACGTCTGAAGGAGCAGTGGCAGGATCCTATTTGCAATTCAATCTGTGGATGGACCTGTGAACACCTGGTGGCAGTAAGGTTCTTAGGCTGGTTAGAGGATGCAGGTTTCTTCTTTTAAAATAACAGTTATGACAAAGCTGTCTGAGAACAGGCAAACACATATGCTGTCTAAAACAAAGTAAGGGAATCCATTGGATCATCAGTTTAGAGGAAAGGTCTCTCCTGAGGACATCTGGGCCATGGTTCAGCATCAGGTGCTTCCACTCTCTTTCCAGATGAGGCAGCTGCTGCTGAAGAATTAGATGGCTAGAATGGTGGTGGTTGGAGGGGTTTAGATTGACACTACTCCCATTCACACACCACCTAACCACATACCACACACTCGCATACACCATACATATACCTCACACACTGCGCACATGCTGCACACTCATACATGCTATACACATACATATACCCCACACCACATATACAATGCACAATATACACATACCATACATACACCTCCTAGTACACACATACACCATATACCTATCTCATCCCCACCACACACACACACACACACACACACACACACACACACATACCACACATGGTCACATATACGATATACACAAATCACACAAATACACACCACATATACACATACCACACATACACTCACATACGGCATACACATAACCTACACCACATATATACATTACACATACACGTACCATACACCGTACATAATCACATGCATTCACCACACGAAATACCACATACACATACCACATACTGCACATATGCCACATGCACTCCCATATACTAAATACATACCTCACACCACACACTCATACAGCACACTACACATATACTCATCACTCGCACAATAACATATACCTCATAAACACCACATACCCAAACATGCAACATATTGCCACCTCCACACACATGCATATCCCCTCACAGTGGAAATCCATAAACCACAACTCTTGATTTCCTAAGCCATGAGCTTCTGTTTCTAATTATGAAAGTGATGGTGTGAGGCAGGTACTACTATTTCTAATTATAGATGAAGAAGCAGGTTCAATGAAGGCCAAGGCACTTGCCAAAGACATCAAATAAATAAGTGGGCAGAGCCAGGCTTTGTGCCTGGGGTTGTGACTGGATTCCAAGTCCTTCAGTGTTGTCCTACTTGCCAGGCTGAATCCCGCAGCAGCCCTAGAGGTGATTCTCCCCATATCATTAACGGAACTGTGGCTTGGAGAGCTCACTGGTGAGCTTGTAGCTTTCCAGGGCCCAGGCCTTTAACCCTGGGCTGTGCACATGCACCACAGCACTGTCTCCTCACCCTGCTGCTCTTTCTTCAGTCCCAGGCCAGCCCTTGGTTCTGAAGAATATCTCCACAGACATATCCGGCTACTACATCTGTACCTCCAGTAATGAGGTTGGGACAGAGTCCTGCAACATCACCGTGACTGTCAGACCTCGTAAGAGCAGGGGAGGGAGGGAGCGAGGGGTACAAAGCCCAGAGATGGCTGGCTGAGCCCAAGTGGGGGTGAATGAGGTAGCCGCAGTGCCCTGGTGAGATGACTCCAGGCCCAGACTCTCCTTGCCGAAGCCAGTGCAGCCCTTCTGGTTCTTTGGAAATAGAGCCTGGGCCAGACTTCTGAAGACCTCCTTAGTCCTGTCAGCCCCGAGGGCTACCTGGAGAGCATGAAAGAATTACCCAGAGCCAGTTGCCTCAGTCTAAACTCTATTCTTTGAGGGGAGGGGGAGGACCATAGCTGTCTCAGGCATAAGCTAGGAGCTGGCAAAGCTAGCATCTGGGGTCTTCTTAGAGTCTAGGTAGCCCAGTGACAGGATGGGTCTGCTTATCTTTGTCTGTACCTCCATCCTAAAATGTCCTCAGCCCCATCTAGTCACAGTTCTCCAGGACCATGCCTTCCATGGAGTGCTACCAGAGGCCTGAGGCTGTTGCTCCCTGGATTGGGAGGTGGAATGGGGTGGCCTAGAGGCTGGGAGAGACCAGCCTCCAGTGCCTTGAGCCAGTGCTGTTTCCTTATCTTCAGCCTGGCTATCTCCTCTGATGCCTGAGGTTGGCTGAGTGCGGGGGGCTAGAGGTGGACATCAGGAGGTGCAGCTGCTCTGTCCTCTTGCAGCCTCTATGAATGTGGCCTTATATGCCGGTATCGCAGGGGGCATGATTGGGGCCCTCATCATCATTGGCATCATTGTCTACTGCTGCTGCTTCCGAGAGAAGGAAGACAAAGCTGAGGACATGGAGGATGCAAGGCCGTGAGTGTGCCAAGGCGGGTGGCCTGATGGAAAAGTTGGAGAAGATTTGAAATATATACCCCCAGCTCTTCAGACATGACTACTTACAACACCTTGGGGGGCACTGTTACTTTAGTCTGCCCCATTTTACAGCTGAGAAAAGAGCAATTCATCCAAATCAAGTGTGTACTGCAGTCCTAGGATTTGCCTCCAGGGCCCATGGTTTTGCAGTCTCTCATCTCAGGGTAGGACTTCATGAAGCAAACCGAGGGCCAGGTATAGAGTAGAACACACACATTCTTCCCACAACATCCTCAGCTCATGAGTGGATCAGCTTGTGGGACCATGTAGTCCACCCTCAATCCAGCACTGCAGTGCAGGGTCCCTTGCAGCTGGCGGGTGGAGATGACAGGTCTGGTGGCTGCTTTGCCCATAATGCAAACTAAGGTCCAGCTTATTTGCAGGCCCCCAGTGATGGTAAACCTTCCCTTCTTTTTCCATTGCCTTGTAGGAACCGGGTTGTTTACCAAAAGCCTTCAGAGCAACAGACAGAATTTTCCAGAGAGAAGGAAGACGATGACTACAGACATGGAGACCAGGGGAGCTCAGGCCGCAGATCCCCAGACCAGTCCTTTCAGTGATTGGGGCCTGATGTACAGAGGGAAAGAGAGGCTGCTTCTGGCTTCCCTTCTCTCTAAGCCCATAGTCCTGCCCCTCTTTTCCAGGCATTGGTGGGGACGCTTCTTCCGTATCTGCCACTGGGGAGCATCACTGGCCTGGCTCCAGGGGTTCTGCCTGACACCATACTCACCTCTGACCTTTTTCACTGTCATATCTGATTCGGAGCCTGGCCTTCCCCCGAGACTTGATTGATGCCTCTGCCTCTCCTATGGCTCCTGGAAGCTCAGCATTGAGCAAGGGCTACTCTTGCTCAGGACCCCCCATGGAGACAATAACAGCTTCAGGAGGGTGAGTGCCTGGTCTGCCCAACTGTGCCCAGCACCCAGGGGAGAACTTTCGGAGGGCTTGCTCTCAATATTTTTGCTGAATGAAGAAAATAAATCAATGATGTGATGAACTCCCTGTGATTTATCCAGGCTAAGTATGCCCTCTGTGCTTGGGGACCTTAGTGTCCTCCAGCTTTCCACTTCAGCCCCATCTCCCACCACACTGCCCACAAGGGCCACCTCCTACTCCAACACATTGCTCTCCCCAGAGCCTGGCAGCCTAAGCTGGAGATTTGCCTTCACAGATAGGGCTTTGCTTCCTGGATGTGACTGCAGACACTCCATGGCTCTCACCCAAGCACCCTGCTAGTTTGGGTAAGGTGGGAAGACTGATTTAAAATGAGTACAGAAGCTTACTTGCTTCCTGTCCTGCTCAGCCACTGGGTTCTGAATGCCAGCTGGGCCTTGTTGCCCGAAGCCTCCCTGTCTGCCTTACTCTCCAAGCTCAGGTTGGGTTGCTACTCTGGCCGGCTTCCCAGTGGCTGGTTTCCTGCGAATGTGTTTTACCCTTATGTAAACTTTTTTTGGATCTTCAGAAAAGCAAGTTGATAAATCCATTTCTGATTTTTTGTCCACTTCTGACTTTTTACATGTATATTTTTATATATTTTGTTAAATTCTTTGCTTCATTCACAATGCTTTCTGTAACAATAAAATTACCAGTGGAAATTCACCTTTTTAAGTGTGGGCTTCAGTCATGCTGAGGTAGAGCTACTGCCTAGTGGGTCTTTCTGGGAGAGATGATGTGATAGAGAACCTTGGGATTCCATTGCTTGTGGCCAAGGTACGGGTGGACAGTAACTCTCAACGGTGCTGGGGCAGGATAGAGCCCAGCCTGGTGGTGGGGGTGGTGGGGGTGTGCTATTGGAACTTGTAGTATCAGAAGACCTGGCAAACCTGGGAGACATTCATGTGTCTCCAGGATGGTGACAGAGACTCCCAGCCCAGGATACCCAAAGTACCCCTCATAAGAATGAGAGGAGCAATTGGTTGTGTTGCAGAGAATTATGGCTTTCTTCCCCAGCAGCAATTTGGCTCCATGGTCAGGTCTCAGCTTGGATACAGACACCTATCACACTTTTTTTTTTTTAAATTTTTAAAAATGATTTTTATAATAAAAATATACTTAAGAGACGTATCACATTACAA